CGCATAAAAAAGGAACTGATTCGTCGCTAGCTAAAAAATATTGGAAATTAGTGAAGACAGACTGCGTACCAAACAAGTCCAGTACTGGATCCTGCACAACTGTTACTTTCGCAGAGGGTATAAAATTGGAAAGACTATGCCCTCCTCTTCAAAACAATCACTCTAAAACACATCATAAAACGTGTCTATTAATAAAGGCCAAAAAAAAAAAATTCTTTGGTCGTGGCAAAGAAAAAATAGCCAGGACAAAAACTGAAGCAGCCCCGATAAAACGCTACGATAAGGTTACAAAATTAAATGAATGACATTCGTACAATATCCGGTTCCTTGAGACACGGTGCCAACAGCATTCAGCAGTAGACATGTGACATAAATTTCATTACTTTATCATCAAATCTTCTACAGCAACCGCCCAAGCAAGTGGGATAGTTCGACAACTCCCGACTGTCAGTAAAAAAATGCGTTTTTCCGCAGGTTTTTATCGCTCACGGCACTAATTTTTCTGACAGATGCTTCTAGCTAAAAAATCGAGACTGGCCACTACGAAATTACAATGACTGCCCAACTTGGTCACGGATATGCTCAAACTCAACACTCCAGATGCGCCGATTGCGTAGTTATGTCAAACTTCATGTGTTCGTGCGTGGGGGAGGAGAGGACGGAGGATGGGGGAGGGGAGTCTTTGTTTTGCACCAGCTCAAACATGCTTGAGAACCAAGTTCTGAAAACCTCAGCAACGTAGTTGTCTTAGTTGCAGGATTGCGTCAAATCCCACGCGATTGTATATGAAGGGAAAAAAGATGTTTTTACGTGTCCCTGCTCAAACACGGCTCTCGGCCATGCTTAAAAAATTTTGGAGTTCTAGCTGTTTCAGTGTTACGTCTAACTTTACGTGTTCGGGTGTAAGACGTACATGAGACATGGAAGGAACGTGAAAGATGTTTTCTCGTCCATATGGTCAAACGCAGCCTTCGGACACACCCAAAAAGTTTCAGCTTTCTAGCTGCTTTAGTTCCGAAATCAAAAAAATTATCCGCTTCAAATTTCACGTGTCCGTACGCGAGATGCAGGGAGGCTAGAAAGCTCAATTTACTTTTATACGCATATCACAGGACGACAAGCAACGTTACAAAATTACAACTCTCTGGAGCTTCTTGGCCAGCTTAATTCTCGAATTGACAAGACGCCAGTTTAAATTATGGCGGATACTTACGTGAGACCTGAGGATGCGCGAAGGCTGAGTTTAAAATCTTTGTGTTGGACTTGGGTAAAGAACAACTTCGTTAACTTCCAGCGCTCTAGCTTGCGTGATTCCCGAAACCGCTCTCCGGTAAAAAAATTTTTCGCGTGCCCGTACGTACGAACCACGCGAGCGTGAGCACTCATTTTGAGGAAGGGCGACCGCACGCAGGTGTACATTAAGTTGCGAAAATTTCAGTCTCGCAGCTTCTGTAGGTCCCGAGATGAAAACTCAGTACAGACGCACACACGAACACACACACACACAACCCTTCGACAGTATGCGTTTTTGACTGTGTAGATGCAAAAAAAAAGCATAATAAAAAACTGGTCTGTTACAATTCTTTTTAAAGACACCTTAGAATTCGATATGAAACGATTTAGCAACCGGACTTTAAATATGTTAGGGTTTAGAATACACAGAGAAAGTATCACTTAATATGAAGGCTGGGCTTTGAAGCATAAACTCTTCTGATATTATTGCGTAATATTTTCACCAGTCGCATCTAAGCCAGCAGTCGAAAAATATGAAGCCAATTTCAAGAACAAAATTTTTAACCTTACGAGTTATAATAATTCAAAACCACAAAACTGTATATGAATTATTCGTAGTGAATTGAAAATGCCGACTCCTCTAAGCTTCCCTCAAAATTCATAGTGTACCATATGCACTTATCGTGTTTTATCCATATTTTCTTATCTTTGTCTAAGGACGTTACTCAAAGTGTATTTAGTGGTGTTGTTATATGCAATTATTGTTTTTTTTTGTGTCAATTATCGCTGGCTCCATTTGAGGAAAAGTGGCAGCCAGCTCGAGAAAATTATGTTTAAATAATGCAATGCAACCTCTGGTGGCGCATTCAGCTGTGTTTCAGGAGAAGCCGGTTCAACTGAGCAGGCTGGATCTGCATTGAGGATTTCATCTGCATTAGTCGAACAATCATCGAAAAGCTCATACGGCAAATTTCTTTCGATGCTCTCGATTAATTCTGCCAAATCTTCCTGCTCAACAAAACGGTCTAGTATATCAGCCGCTGCTCCATCAACTGCCACCGGTGGCGTCTGAATACAGAATATACCTTTTTTTTGAATCTTCACAATAATGAGCCCTCCAATGTTATAAGCCTACCAAATTCATTATACGGTGGTAAAAGAAATGTTTTCAAAAATCATTCCCAGATATCTAACCCATTTAATGAGAACCTAAAACCTGCGCCTAACGCCCGAACTTGCAAATCGTATTTGTAGCCTGCAAGCAATTTAAAACTGCTCAGCAAGTGATCCCGCAGCAAAACACAGTCCTGCTTGCTCCTGGCATAGCTCTACACCAAATGTCCAGCCTGACTGATCTCTGTACACCATTTTTACGAATACCAGCCGTTTTGGAGGAACATAAGAAACTATTAACGGGTAAGATGAAAGATTTTACAAGAGAACAAAAAGTCGTAGAACTCTTGGTTGGCGAGGTCATAACGCTACCGGTTATCTATAATACCAACCAGTTTTGATAAAATTTACGTAATCTGCGCATGTGCGACTTCCGGCAAAATTTGAGGTGAAAAAAGCAAGGAACCGGGACATCAGTATACTGACCACTGGATAATGCAGCTTCACTCGAGGGATACATGAGGGATAATCAGTTAAGATGGCACAGCGAAACGAAAGCAGACCAAAGTAAGCAAGATGGATGAAGCACCAAGTGCAGACCACTTACTTTAAATTGACAGACTGTCCTCAATAACAGCCTAATGCCATCTCAAAAATAAAACTTTTGCAAGCAGCGCCTACATACAACATCATTGTAATACAGCATACCACGGAATGCAATGGACTAACAACAGTGCTTGGTCCACTTCCGCTATGATCTTTAATCTGTTGGGCAGTTTCTGCAAGCTGCTTCACATTTTTGAGAAATCTTTGCCGTCTTCCGCTTATATTCGATGGTGGTGTAATTCTCCTGCAAACGAAAAGCAATAAATAGCGGTGCGCACTGGGGTAGTAGGTGCGATCATGCGCTTCGCACAGTTCCGTCCAGTGAACGTTTACCTGCTAAAAATTTTCACTGCTTTGTACTTTGGTCTGTGCAGAAATAGAAGAAACGCTGTCCGGTCCCTAAGTTGCAAGATTTTCCACTAATGTCTTGCACAGTAAACATCCATCCCAAATCAACTCCATAATTTTCTGGCTTGTGAGTGATTTTCGAGCCAAAAATTTTATGTGGTCGTGCGTGAGCCCTCGGCATTCTTGGGAATTAAATTTGAGTTTGTGTGGCCTCTCCCTAGGCAGAAAACATCCTCCTGCAATCTTCAGCCTCCTACCTCTTCAGGCTTCCGGGTAATAATTCTTCCCATCAAAACATTCACAAGGACGTTGAGACTCAGGCGTACGTAAAAGCTGAATTTGAATTTGCAAATATGGGCAGAGGACAACAACCTAAAATTTCGGCTTCCCAGCTTTCATGGTTCCCAAAATAATTTCCCCTACCAAAACTTTCACGGGGTCGTACGTGGTACCCAGACTAGCGTAACGCTGAATTTAGAATTGCGAAGTCGTATTTGGTCAGCGGATATTGCTGCAAAGTCTCAGCTTCCTGGCTTTTATGGCCCCCGAGATAATAATTTTCCTTGCCAAAACTTTCACGAAACCGTATGCGGCAACCGAAGGCGTAGGAACGCTGAATTTAAGTATGCGCGGTCGCATGTTGGCGGGGAACATTCTATCGAAATATCAGTTTCCCAGCTTTTGTGGTTCCCGAGTTGAAAATGCGGGACAAGACGCGCGCGTACACATACACATACACGCACACACGTACACACACACGGACGCACACATACATAAACACACACAAGAACACATACACAGATAACTTCGCGACAATACGGGTTTTGTACTGCTGTTGCACAGCACAAAACGCATAAAAATACAAGAGAGATTGGTATTTCTCCACATGTATGACACAGATAAAGCGACAAAAACTGAACCCAAAAGAACGACAAAAATAGAGTCAAGACCACTAGGCTGCCTACCGTTGGGAATCGTGGATGCAATTCGATACAAGTACAGATCAAACATTTGTGTGCTAGAGACAGTATGCCAGACAACAAACTCGCTTGGAACACACAGTATTGAGCATGTACGCATCAACGGAAGCTCATACGTCTCCTCTTCACTAAGCTCCACGTGTACAACAGTGAGACAACGTTCAAAAAAGGGTCTTGCATGTTCATCCAACAAATTCCAGGCTAACGGCAATTGCTTACTTCCATTTTGATGGCAACTTTCCGTTTGAATTTTAATAGGTTATCGTTTTCCCTTCAACTGACAAACTCTGCCCGAATTTCCCAACGAGAGCACCAATCCTCTCTTCCTCCCCTCGCTCACACGTGCACAATTCGTGTGGATGGCGAACTGGTCTGCTGGAAAGTCAAAACCGACATCAACTAGCTTCTAAAGCAGCTCTGGAAAAAGTGAACTATTGACAGCATTGGCAGTGCACGGCTACTCGTGGCAAAGTGCTACCACTCACACTGCTTCAAAGTGCCCCCCCCC